GGGGGTTTTTCGGCAACCCAGATCCTGCCCCCCCAACCCAAAGCCAAAAAACGGCCGGCGGCGGGCCCCGGTTTTCCCCTAAAACCGGGACAAAGGGGGGGCGGGGGCACCTTGGGGCAGCGTTTCCCATGTTTTCCTTTTTTCTCCCCCCCCCGGGGGCGGGGGGGACCCCAAGCGGCCACCGGGGGCGGCCATGTGTTACCCGTTCCCGGTCCCCTTCCGGCGCCCCCCTCCGTTAAGGGGGGGCCCCGGTTTTTTTGTGGTCGGCTCGCCCCCAAAAAAAGATCCCTTCGGGACCCCCCCCGGGGGGGGGGGGGGGGGGGAGGGGGGGGGAGTACTCACGAAAATGCATGCCGTGGTCGGTAGAACATAGACCCAAGGCATCTCTGCAACGCCGGGCCGGAGCGATAAACCGGGTTTTCGCCGGCCGAGCCTACAGCACGTTTCACAAGGATGACCTAGAAGCTGTCATCTTCTTTCGTTTGCAGGTAAGCAAACCGCATATGTCACGTGTTGATTGGTGGAGGAGAGGAACAGCCATTACGTCGGAGAAAGTTACAGGATAAGCCATCACGACACAACCAAGGGGGGCGACGCAGCGGGAGTTCGCGAAACTCCCTTCCTCCGGAGTAGCGACAAGCGCTCCCCGTTATCGAATTTGGCGCTCTGAGAATGATGATGCGGTGCTTCGCCTCAGGAGACGCGGAAAACCAACAGGCTCTTCGCCCAGCAGCCGCAGCAGCCGCAACAGTCCAGCATGACTGCGAGTTCCAACGTACGCGGGGGGCTCACGGCTGCAAGACACCCCCATACACCCACACACACGGCGGGCTTACCTCCTCTTCATCGTGCGGTGTGAAGGCTTGGATGCTTCCGTCTGGGCCGGGAAGACCACACACCTTCTGCAGCTGGTGAAGAGATTTCCCTCCCTGCGGAGGCAGTGTGTGCGCGGTGGGGGGGGGGGGGGGGGGGTCGCGGTTCATTGCTTGATGATATCATCGATCGCAGTGACCGGTTGGACATTAAAAAATATGCCAGTAAGTGCCAGGGCGGCAAAAAACGGAAACGGAAAAAAGCTTCCAATCACCAATTTCCATGATGTGGGACCCCGTGCGTGTGTGTGTCTTTGTTACCAGCATCGATCGCGGTAACTGGCTGACCAACGAAAAGACGCCAATCTCAGTGCGGCAAACAACGAAAACGCTTAGAGAGGCCACGAACTCGAACCCCGTGAGAGGAGGATCTCGGGGGGGGCTTCATGGCAATTTTTCGGAAACAAAGACAGAACCGACCGCAAATGCGTGCGTATATATTATTAGCATCGACGGCGCGAACCGGCTGACCAATCAAAAGACGTCTGAGACGGTTGAAAACACGAAAAGGGTATGATCTGGGATATAATTGTGTGTGCGTTCCAGAAGGGGGGAAGGGGCTGCAGTTAGCCGTGGCGTCAAGGAACACCTGACCGGGTAGGGGTCGGTAAAACGACCGCGAGGTAGCGGTTGGGAAGAAGCGCACGCGCGGGTCGGCGTGAGTGTGAGCAGACTTAAACGTAAAGAGACCAAAATCACACGTTGCTACCGCATGAATGTGGGCACGGCAATGAAAATCAAGAGAGAAACCACGCCTTTGAAACTTCGCCCGCGAAATTGTTCCCAACAAAGTCGTAGCCTATCGCCACGGCTATCACCTCAACCACCACCAGCAACGGCAACGACAACCCGTCGCCTGCGCCGTGCAACTATTAAGCTAAACGAGCGATCACGCGGCCTAGCCACCAACCAGCCCAGCGTCTCTCGCGACGACCCGACGCAATAAAAAAAGACAGGAAGGCATCGCCAACGACGCATCATCACCAGCTTCTCACCAGACACGCCTCCATGCCACCCCGCTTCCGCCTCCGCCACCGCAACTCCCGCACGTCCCTCGACACGCCAGCCCCCCCCCCGACCCCCCCCCCTAACCCACCTCCATTCAAAACACAATAAATCTTCTACCCTCAATACCCCCAAACAATTCAACTCCTTCTCTCATCTTCCCACCTCCTCCTCCTTACAACAATCTCCATATAATTTAATACTAAAAATACACTTCTAAACTCATCCACACTAATTCCCTACAAATAAAAACATACCACACACAAAACACTAAACCAATACCTAACACATTTCTTCTCCACCTTCCCAACATAACATATATAACACACACAATACAACTACCAAACT